CTTCTCCTCCTTCCGGGGAGCGGGCTCCTTCTTGGGCACCACCTTCTCCTTGCTCAGCTTTGGCTTGGTGTCCACCTTCAGCTTCTCCGTCGTAGGGTCCAGCTTGGCTCGGGCATCCTTGGCTTTCTCTTCTTCTGACCCCGCCCTGGCCGTCTCCCCCAGGGGTTTTGGCTTCTCCTTGGTCCCTGCCTTCACCTCCTTCCTCTCCACCTTTGACGGAGCCTTTTCCTTCAGTGCCGGCGTCCCGGCGTCCACCAAGCTGAGCTTGGAAGCCGACTTCAGGCTCTCCTTGCTCTCTGCTCTCCTCTGCTTCAGCAGCTTCTCAGGTTGGGGCGCCGACGGCCCCTTCAAGTCGTTCTTGGTGACCACGGGGTGCTTGAGGAACTCCAGGTGCTTCACCTTCTCCAGCCCCTCCAGGATGCGGCCCTGAGGGGTGCAGCCGGGGAAGAGGACCCGGATGATCTTCTCGGAGGGGCTGACGGGGTGCCAGACGAGCAGGGCGCAGACAGAGGTCAGGCACTGCAGGGGCAAATCCTGCTCCTTGGGGTAGCTGTTGCCCGACCACTGCTGCAGGAGAAACTCCAGCTCCTTGGTGCCCTTCACGGGGTTCAGGACGTACATGTCCAACCGTCCCACTCCCATCTTCTGGAAGAGCACGGTGGGCTCCGCGCGGGGTCCGCCGTCCCGGGCCAGGGGGTTGGGACGGATGCCCAGCTTCTCCAGGTAGTGCAGGGTCAGGGCAGCCTCGTCGCAGCTCTTCAGCACCCGGGAGTTGCCCTCGATGTCCTTCAGCTTCTCGGAGGCGTTGAGGAAGACGACGCCCAGCTCTGGGGAGATGAGGTTCTTCGCCCAGTCCCCGTTGCCCTGCGAGCTCTGGGACGGGTCCTCCTCCAGCTCGGCCAGCTTCCTCTGCAGCAGGCTGTTGACCCCGGGCAGACTGTCCGTGCCCGCGTGCGTCACCAGGATGGAGTCGATGCGGTCCAGGTGCCTGACCAGCTTCCAGAAGGATGATAGAAGGCTGATTTTGGGTTGGACCCTCCCTTGCCCAGAACTTTGAAGCCGTTGACGGCAAAAAAAGCCGAGTCCCCTCTCCCGCCCGGGAAGATATAGCAGCAGGGCTTGGAGAGCTTGAGGAAGCCGACCATGGTGGGGGGCTCGAGGAGGTCGAAGGGGGACTGGGGCTCCAGCGACTCCGAGAGGTGCCCCAGCGACGCCGAGAGGTACTCCATGAACTCCTCCAGCCCCTCCATCTCTGGCAGGATGCAGCCCGGGTTGTAGCGCAGCTCGATGAAATCCTGGAGGTTGTGATGGTCCAAGCCCGAGTCCTTCCACTCCCCAAAGTCAGGGCAGCTGATGGTCAGCCTGGCCTTGGCCGAGGGGTCTGCAGAGCTCAGGATCTCCCCGACCTGCAGGGGGACGGGGACACCCAGAGCTTCAGGTGGGATGGGGCACCCAGG